CGCTGACCCCGGGCGTCTCTGAGCTAGCAGAGAACTAAGAAGAGCAGAGGGCAGGCCCAGGATACTGCTCAAACACAGGCGAGCTGCTGGCGTGAGCTTCTGCTGGAGCCTTTTACCCTCCGCTTCCCAGCGCGCTGCCTGGTACATCTCTCTCTACATGATAGAGCAACCTCTGCTTCGCTGCCTAATTCCCATTTCGTGTTTCACATCTTGCCAGAAAGACAAACGGTTTTGTCGCTGCCAGTTGTGAACGTTACACATTTTGCCAGGGAGACGTCGTGCTTGTTTGCCACAGACGTAATTAGATGATCAATCACGAGGAGCCGAGGAGAAATACCGGCATTGCGAACAAACAAATGTATTTTTCAGTTTGCTCTCTGAAAAGAACGGGGAGTTAACTGGAGAGGAGAGAAGAGCTCCGGCTCTGCATTCACAGCCTCTGTCCTGGCTCCCTTTCCCCGGCACTTCCAGCACGGAGTAGCAGCCAGGCAGCAGAGTTCCTCCAGCTGCTGAAAGACATCTGGAAAGCATGGGAACTTGTTGAGAGAGGCTGTTTTCCTCTGGATGGCAAAGTGCTTCCCCGTGAGGCCGTGCTTGAACAGGGGCCCTCGTGGAAGTTGGCGGGAGGGGGGCTAGCGCAGACCCGGGCGTGCGCCCGATCCGACGGAAGGGGAAAGCAGCGGAGACGCTCGGTGTGACGCGGGCACGCTGCCGCGCTGCTGGCGTCGAACACAAGGCTGCAACCTTGCCGCTCTGCCCTGCCCTCGACCCCTCAGTAAATCCGTATCTGGATTAGCTCGGCCGTACTAAAAACCTGCGTGGACTCAGTATGAGAATTAACGTGGCTTTACCGCAGTTAATTCACAAAGGAGTTTGTTCCATTTCAGGACTCTACCCCATGTGCAGCCAAAGCCTCAGCTAAAACTGAGGCTGGTTTGCCTCCGGCGGTAGCATACAGGGATAGTGAAGCTCCGCAAGGTCCCGCGAGGACAGCGCGTAGTGAGGTGCCATTTGTACTACCTTTCCTCTGTATTTATGATCCCTTCCCTCTGCCTCCGTAGGAGAATGCAGGTGTCTGGACAAAGGCGGTAAAAAGCACTCTCTTTTCTAGTCAGCTTTTTTAAGTGCCTCTTTCTTCTCCGGTGAGAGACTGTCAGCAGCGAAATAAAACGTGCTCCTTAAAGCAGCGCTGAAAGACTCGGAAGACGCTCTAATGGCCACCGTAATGCTTCCAAATGATGCCAGTTCTGGGTCTGAAGAAATTAAGATTATTTTTAGGATGGAAAACTCAAACTCTCAAAAGTTAGGAATTAACCTAGTTGTCCGCGTAATCGTAGTTTTGTACCGTGTGGATATGTAGTAGATACAGCCTTTAATTGCACAGTCACAAATTACACTGTGTTTTAGTTTCCCTATGCTATGCTTTATTTTCCCAAATTAAAACTTTTTTTGAAAATAGAAACACCAAACCTTTTCATTTTTACAACTTTCAAACATAACCTTTTAACTTTCCTCACGACGACCAGCTGCATGAAAAGACATGCAGTAATTATTGCTGTAAAAACAGTTCTACTGAAAGAAAAAAAAAAATCTCGCAGAAGCTGCAGACGGCAACGGAAGAGAATATTTGCTCCCTTTATCCGGGGCCTTCCTAACCCCCATCAAGTAAGTGCCCAATAGATGGACATGAGAGATTAGCCGTATGTGGTTCCTCCAACGCTGCCGCTGAGTTGCAAGGGCCTGTAAAATGAGCAGGGCTAGAATTAGGGCGTACATAACTCGCCCTTGTCTCCAGCCTTTTCTCCATGAAGCACAGTTCTGGTTTATGAACTGCAGCCAGAGCCAGAATAGGACCGAGGGGCTGATCGGGCACGTATCAAATCATTCCGCTCTTTTTATACTTTTAAGACACTTTTCTATGTTCCTGCCTTTTTTTTATCCTGCATTTTATGCATGTTTCTTCCTTCTCTAGATGGTTTTGCATTATCAAAGGGCAACAGAAGAAAGAAAAAACCGTTGCTGCATTTAGCATTGATTTTTCCCCTTCGCTCTGAGTCACATAAGCTAACATTTAATTAATTTCTGACACTTTGACAGTTTCTATGAAGACATTTGTAGAGCTATCAAGTGCTGCTGATAGCACTGTCAGACAGACACTTTTTGAATTATCAGCTATTAAGGACCCATATGCAACAAATTTCCAAGGATTATTATACACATTGTTCTTTGAATGAGAAAAGCACACAAAAGCTCAGTGAAACATAAAGAAACCATTGTTCCCAGGTGAATTTGATATTTGCAAATGTTTTGCTATTTTGATCACTTACATGGTTTAATAAATCGAATTAACTTTGTCTTTTATTAAGAAAATTAAATGGCCTGCTTTGGGATGTCTGAGAACATGGCCAGATTTTCAAATCACGGTGGTCTTTATGGAGATACAGCTTGAGAAACATGCAATACTTGATTTTAGGAAGTGTTGAGCAGTGAATGAGGTCCCTTCAGATCTCTCAAACAAGAACCCCCAAACCCAAAATGGCCAAAATTTCCAGTTGCTTTTAAACAGCTCTTGCCTTTACTCTTTGATCGTGTTCTCTGACGTGTCACCATTTCTTGATGTAGTGACTACTTCAGGCCCAGGTACAGACCTTAACACTTTGCTTTTAAACACACAAGCAAACCTGGCAAGGGGCTGAAATGATCAGCGTGGATTAATGCTATTCCAGAGACCCTCTGCAGCTGTGGGCGGCAGTTTGAGTATGACAGCTCTGGTTTTGCTGGCCTCGCTCTGCTGATTTAACAGTTGACAAAGCAGCTCTAGTCCAACAAATGGGACAGAGCTGTATTTCAGCTTGCTCAGCGCCACGGCTATGACTCGGTGGTAGCGTTCGTCTGCTTCTGCAGTACGCCGGCGCCGCGTTATCATGATCAGATCGCTCCACTTGCTTGTCCTTGGAGCATCTGGCATTAGCGGTTCTGGTGAGCTCAGGGAACCCGCTGGCTCACAGAGTGAGACTCAGCTCAGCGCTCCTCGCCTCGTGGCCTTTGCGGCTCTCTGAAAGCAGACTCAGGTGCACGCCGGTCAGGTCCGAGCACGTCCGGCGCCGCCTGTGCTCCCAGCTCAGTTACGCGCAGGACAGGGATGATTTGCAGACTATAGCTATACTCATGTTTTAGCCCATACCGCTTCAGCACACACACTTTGTGTGGAAATCCCTTCTTTTTCTAAGTATGTAGAAACTCCAGCAGGACTCGGACATGGTGTGGAAATACCCAGAAGATAGCGCCAACCACCACGAGCACCCACGGCACAGAACCTGACCCAAGAGCCTCTTTACTGAGCTCACCTAAACGAGAGCCAAAAGAGCCTCACCACACAGCGAGAGAAAGTCTTCCCAGTATGCCAGAGCCAGCGGCCAGATGTACTGCAGTCTCATTGCAAATGTGGAGTTTGTTTTTCATATGCTGGCACCAAAGACCCCAGCACAGACACCTGCTGCCAAGGTCTGCAGGGGGTAACTGAGCTTTTAGCCAGTTTCTTACAACGTGGACATATGTGCAGTTGGATGCCAAGGATCTAGGGTACGCAGAGTCCCGATAGCATGGCTCTGCATCACCTGCTGGCATAAAATCCGTATAACCTCGTGGACGTTCATGCACCCTCATTAGCCCGTACAATACAGAAATACGGCATAAGAGAGATCGGTTCTCCCATAGTCTATCATCAGAGCGGAAACCACGACCTTCCCTCACACACCACGTCCCACACTTTAGCGTTGTTTATACATCTTCCTCCACAGAGAGTAGCTTTTTGCTGTCTGCATTTGCAGCTAGCGACTCACAAACCTCTATATCCAGACAGTGACATTTCTTTAGAGTATTGTTTCCTCATCTCTGTTCAGTTAATTTTCATTCTTCTTCCTCTTCGACCATAAAAGATGCCTGCAAGCCTGAGACCTGATCCACAGCCAGTGGAAACCAAAGGAAGGCCTCTCAGTGCCAGCCCCCTCACTGTGCGCCGAAAACGGCCCGGGCTAAGGAAGCAGAGCACACAGGCAGCCCTGGAAGACAGAAAAGGCCTAAAAGACTAGAAGACACTTGCAGTTGTCTTTGGGGGTTTGCTTTATGCAGGCGTAGCAAACCTAAATATGTTCTAGGGAACTCTACAGCAAAAACCGTGATTTGTTTATCCGTTACCTTTGAAAGAGTGCACAGCACATGGCCGTTGGCCAGGGAAGAAATGACCGTTTGCCATGATGCCACAAATTTCCAGGGAGACCTGTCTTCCCAGTGCCAGGAGCTGCAGAGGTTGGGCTGTGGGGTGGCACCCAGTCATGCCCCCACCATTTTCCCCTTTACACTGCAGCCTCACTGGGGGAATGGTAGAAGGCAGGGACAGTCCAGCCCTGACTTCAAAACTGTTACTGTCACGTTTCATTATCATCACAATTCAGTTCATAGGTTTTTTTAAATTTATTTCCCTGCTGGAGGAAAAAAATAAGGAAAAGCAAAGAAAAAGAAAAAAAAAAAAAGCAAAACACCACAAAACCACCACAGCCTAAAGTTCCATGAAGCACATGAAAAATAAGCAAAGTGGGTCATGGCACGTCTGCCCCGAACTGTACACACCTAAGACAGAGCAGTTAGTGGTTGGGGAATGTCAGGGGAGCCAACAAAAAAATCCCAGGCACTCTGCCTGAATTGTCTGTAACACAGTATCTGTAACTAATATCCCCGGCCACAGAAATGTGGAGGATGAATTGGAAATAGAAATTAACTTCTTGAATCCCTGCCCAGGTATCTGACCGTCAGTCAGCCTCCCATCTGGGTCTTCATCGCACTTCCAGTCAGTCAACCATTTGCACACAGGAATTCAGGGTAGGAGGGAACAGGCTCCAGAGAATCCCAAGAGTGAGGTAGCACATGTGTAATTGTTCTGTTTTTATTTTACATGTTGGCCTTTGACTGTCTTTTCAACATTTTTGTGTCAGAGTGGAGCTGGAACCTGGCACTTTTACCTCGATGGATCCCCTAAACCTTTCTTGGTACAACGGTGACATCGGTGACAGGAACTGGAGCAAGGCACTCAACGAGACCAATGCAGACCAGAAGCCTCAGTATAACTACTATGCCATGCTGCTCACCCTCCTCATTTTTGTCATTGTTTTTGGCAACGTGCTGGTGTGTATGGCTGTGTCCAGGGAAAAAGCCCTTCAGACTACCACTAATTACCTGATCGTGAGTTTGGCGGTGGCAGATCTCTTGGTAGCAACTCTGGTCATGCCTTGGATGGTCTATCTGGAGGTAGGTGACCCAGTTTTCTTTTGCAGTACTGAATGTTTCTGGTGAATGGGTAGAGAGAGGGGAGGTTTAGCAGCCTGGACATCAGCTATTTCAAGAGCTCCTGAACTTCCCAAAACAGAAGCGTTCTTCATTTCATAACAATTGGTCAGGTTTTTCCAGGAAATGGACATGATAGCAGATAACAGGCTGACTTGAAAATACACTACTGTTCAGAGGGCTAAATTACAATCCAACTGCATTAAAAATCTGGCCTTTGAATAGATGAGTCAAGAGCGAAAGGAACCCAGCTTTGTTTTCCAAGCTACATAGACGAACTGTTCATTCCCAAGCATAAGAATGAGTCTGCAACAACATCATGGGTGTCACACTAACAAACTGCACCAAATAGTAATCAAAACCCTCTTTCTGAAGGACTACGGTAGTAAGAAGAGCAGGCAACTGTAGAAGTAGGATGTAAATGCAGAGCTTTTAGGTCACCACGTACGAGAGAACAGGAATCAGGAGTGAGCTACTTTTCACATAGCTGCCATTAGCACGTCACTTTGGTACAAGAGAGTTCAGTGCTTCTGCGTACAGAGCCGCATTTGAGTGGCACTGTGGTTTGTGAAAGCCAAATACTCCCAAGACTGCCACTTGTTCACTTGATGGCAAATGACTTTTGCAACAGCAAATAGCCCGAAAGAATGAAATGCATCTCTAGAGGAAAGAAAAAGAGAAGATACACAGCCCCTCTTCCCTTGGCCCCCTTTTCTGGGATGCCCCTGTTCCTCAGTCAGCTGAGAGCTGGCATGCTGGTCACAATCACAACCAAGAGAGAATGAATGGTGGTGAGAAAGCATAAGACTGAAACTATATTGAGTTTACAATGAATTTTCAGGCACTTGTTTATGAGAGAAAATATAAAACAAAGAGGAGAGCAGGGGAGGAAACCACAATCAATTAGTCCATTAAGTATTAATGCAAAGCAAAACAAACCCACTGACATGACATAGGCTGTGGAGAAACCACAATAGTAATTATCACTCTAGTTAATTATCGTTTTCATGGCACTTTAAAAATGCAGAGCATCATGCATCTGGCTAAAGCTTACTAACATGACCAAAGGTTGGTTGTGATTGTAGTTAATGCCTCCGGGACTAGTTAGGCTCTTCTATTATATTCCTCTTTTGCGACAACCCGTTTCAAGCAAGGCTTATGCTGTGAGAAGCTCTTGCTTCCTTAGGCCCAGCTATGAGTCTCCCAGAGACTTCTTATTTTAATGTGGAAGAATAAAGCACAAATTATGTAAGATGCTTTCCCATTTCTGGGCTCACGTATACATAGAGTTGGTCAGGAACCTCAGCTTCCTTAATCTACCAAGTAGGACAATTAGGCTTCTACATCTGAGCAATACTTTTTTTTTTTTTTAACTTACTTTTGCCCTTTCTGCTCTTATCCACACTCTGCTAAACCTACTGCTAGCTTGAAGCAACGAAAACCATGACAAATACTTGCTGGCAGAGGAGGAGCCATTGGAATGACGTGGATTAGGCACACTGCGGTCCCTCTCTGGGTCTGCAATCTGAAATCGAAACTGGCCAGAACCCTTTGTTCTGTAAATATCCTCATTTTTTTTACGCTTTGTGGTACAAGCTTGGACCAAAACAAATGCCAAAAGGAAATCCTTTTAAAAATTAACCTTGATGCGAACATATCTACCTCCAAACTTCTGAGGTTTCTCTTACGTAAATGAAAGCACTAAGAGAAAGAACTGCTGCACTTTACAGCATCTCCCATAAACTCGAAGCTACGCATTCAGGAAACTGATTTTGCAGAGGCTTATATCTGGCTGGAAACCTTTGCCTTTGGGCAAATTCTCATCAAAGTTACTGATGTAACAGTCTCCTAAGTGCTTTTTTAATCACTGAGTATTCATCTGTCACTCAGGCTTCAATGCAGTCATTCTTTCTTCCTTCTTTTTGCTGCCTATGGTTATGTATGTCAGAGCAGAAATAACTGAAGAACAGGTATCTTATTCATTCTATTTTCAAATGCAGCAGGACTCTATTTTTATTAGAGGAAAATATACTTTTTTCATCATATGTCAAATAGAGCAGTCCTAATAAATGCTATTAAACTTAATTGGCAAAGTTCAATTTCAATAGCAAGATAAGTGAAGAGAAAACAGCCACAGGTAACTGGAAGCGTTATCATTAGTTCTTTGTCTTTATCACAACATGTAGTGTGGCAAAGAATTTTCACTCTGAATTAAATTCATTTCGTTCACAGACACAAAAAAATATGTGAGGAATTTCCACCACTATTTTTTAAACTAAGAAATGAAGGAAAGGTCCTGCTTTTCTACTGCTGATTTTTGCTAGGCGTAATTGCAAAAAAAAAAAGAAGACATAATAAAAAACTGTAAGTACAACTAGAGTTGCTTGGGATACAAAATTAATGTATTTCCTTCCTAATACTTCTTTGCAATATTTCAGAGGCCTGTTTAATCTCCTACATAGTTCACTCTGACTTTTGAAGAGACTTGCCCTCCCTTCAGTCATTGGAATATGAGCCCAGGTTTGGGTTAGCTGTTTGGGTTGCCCAACCCAATCCAGAGATGGAATTAGGAAGGACAAAATCACACCAGCCCTCAGGGGAATGCTCTAAAGAACGGTTTGGATGGAGCACAGTACTTCCTTTGTGGCCGTGCCGTCATTTGAGACCTTCAGACTAGACAGGACAAAGTCCTTGAAGGCACTCGAGGGCAAACTACTTGGCACAGCATGTGACTGATTGCATGCCGCCCGATTCCAGCTGGAACTTCTGTAGACAAAATTTTGATCCCTCTTGAACCAGCAGAACTCCAGCTACCAGCAACTATCTATATCTTTGTGCAAAATTCTCCCTTCAGACCCTCTCAGTAGCATATCAGTGAATTCTTTTATGACCTCATTGTCTCTCTTTGCAGGTGGTTGGTGAGTGGAGGTTTAGTCGGATCCACTGTGATATCTTCGTAACCCTCGACGTTATGATGTGTACTGCCAGTATCCTCAACCTCTGTGCCATCAGCATTGACAGGTGAGGGCTCCATGGCAGCAAGTCGTGTCAAACCCACGGTAGCAAGTCACGGCCATCTTTAGATGGTCTAATTTTACCCGTGACTCAGAGACTTCAAAGTGGTGAGAGCTAGCGTTGACATATTTTGAAGAGCAATTTAGAGGACCTAAATGAGGTCTGAGCAGGGATGCCATCAGAAGCAGACGTAGAAACACTGGTCTTGAGAATGTAGGTGGAATTGTCTGTATATGTTCCCACTAGTTCAGTCCTTTTGTTTATGTACTTGAATGGCAGAGCAGACAGCAGGGGGTAGGCAGTAGCTCAGAGAGAGTGCAAGGGAAATGCTATGCCAAACTGCCCCCAGCCTCACGCCTTCCAAAGCAGGGACTGCAAACGTCTTGGAGATTGGTGAAACCTGGCTTGCCCTATATTCTCTTGCTGGACCAGGCTTTCAGACGCGGTAACTGGGTGTAATGTTCCACACAGTTTGTCAGCGCTGGCAGAACAACAACAGCCTGAGTCTGTATCTTCACACTGCAGGTACACAGCAGTAGCAATGCCAATGCTGTATAATACCCGCTACAGCTCGAAGCGCAGGGTCACCGTCATGATTGCTGTGGTCTGGGTGCTTTCGTTTGCTATCTCCTGCCCACTCCTCTTTGGCCTCAACAACACAGGTGAGTGTTATACCACCTCCAGCTGCTCTCGGCACCTTCCTGGCTTTACTGGGTCCCCAGAAAGTCGTCTGTTACAAGTCAGGAATAAACATGGGCATCAGGTTTTGGGTGTATTGGGATGCATCCACCCCTGTTTCACGTGTCCTCTCCCGGTGTCATCCCAGACTGTTTCTGTCAGCTGCTTCTGGATCCGTTTCATCTCTGTCTGTTCCAGACCAGTGTTTTAGACACATCAGAACTGAGGTGATGTAGATGTTTATACAACACTCGTCAGTGTTACATGAGCATTTGTCGCCTACAAAATCAAAATCCCTCTTACATTAAAACATGTGAAAAAGAAAGTCACGGGACAAAGCTTCACTGAGGCAGGAGAGAGAACAGCATGGGATTTGGCGGGCCTTTAGTTATAAGGCAAGCAATAGCCAGGGACTTTGGGTCATATGTGATTCCCTAGGACTCGAGGGGAGTTTGCTGGTCTGGTACCGCTTCCAGCTGACAAGGTGGTTCCTGCCAAAACCCGAACCGCTCGCTCTCTGGGTGTCTCTCTGCCTTCTGAAAGAGGGAAGACGGTACTAGTTCCCAGCAGCAGAGACAACAAGCCGGAAACTTTTTGTCTTCCAGATGAGAAGGAGTGCATCATTGCCAATCCTGCCTTCGTTGTGTATTCCTCTATCGTCTCCTTCTACGTTCCCTTCATTGTCACCCTGCTGGTGTACGTGCAGATTTACATAGTGCTCCGGAAGCGCAGGAAGCGTGTCAACACCAAGCGCAGCAGTCACGGCCTGGACTCAGACACGCAAGCCCCCCTGAAGGTAACTAGACCTCTGCCCTCCTCTCAGCAGTCTCTGGCCGTTCCCCTTCCCGCTCCGCCTCACTCCCCAAAGCGCTTCCTCCCTTCCCCAAATGACACTGGCTGCACTAGGTGAAATACCGGATCACAAAGGTGAACGCTGTGTCCTGTGCCATTTTGGAGTCCCAGCTGCACGCTCTGGATTATCAGGTCACTGTCTGGTGCTTCACAGGCCTCCCTGGATCTCAGGGGATGTTTCATCAGCAGATCTGCATTAGGAGCTGCTTCATTAACACGGCTGCATTTCCTTTGGCTCTGCTGAGTTGGGGTTGGGTGCCCAAGACTACAGGCTATACTATTTTCTGAGTCAGTGCTGCTGTTGTGACGAAGAAGTTCAATGGAAATTGTTTGCATGGCTGGGGCGCAAGCTACATTGCTGGTCATGATACCTCTGCAGTGAAAACAGCCTCTCAAAGCATGAGAGATGTATGTAAGTCCAGCTGAGCATGTGAAGTATGAGACCGCTTATGAAAACGCTACTCTTGCGGCACATGCAAAACCACCACTAGGAACGTATAGTCCCAGAGGCACTGCCTCCAAACCGCGCTGCCTCAGAGGCCAGTGCCACGTCAAGCAAAGGAGGCAGCGAGACAGGGATAGACTGAAACACAAGCAGCTCTTGGCGGTTTCCTTCCTCTGGTGAAAAGCACAATGGATACTCGCCTCCGTTACTGCTTCTTCAGAGCAGTTTTCCGTCATTCTTAGCGCCTTAGGCACACTGATTAATTTCTGCTTCATGCCCCATGTTTGTATTGCCAAGTGCCTCCCCTTACCAACTTCCCTTCCCAATTACTATCTGCTTGTGTAACCTCTGAGCTGGTGCTTGCCCCTTAGGACAAATGCACTCATCCAGAAGACGTCAAGCTCTGCACAGTTATTGTGAAGTCCAATGGGAGTTTCCAAGTTAATAAGCGCAAAGTGGTGAGTGTTAAAGAGAAGTGGTAGCTTTTCAGAGCATTTAGCTTTCCCCTTTTCTCCTCTCAGGACACAAAATGAGTTTATGTAGGGTGGGAGAAAAATGAACTAAGAACAAAGGTTACCATTCAATCTCAAAATTTAAATATTCTTCCCATTCCTTAGAGTGAAGCAGGGGGTTTAACATCATAGAGCTCAAAAAGCCAGACTAAGCTCACCTAAAGATCAGCTATAAAAGCCATGACATTTTAACATTTTGTGTCTCTGATTTCCTTCTCCTCTCTGTTATTTATTTTAAGTGTTTGACTGCATTGGCTCTGTTGGGTTTTGCTTGTTGATCTTTTTTATTTATTTATATTCTGAAACCTAAACAAAATCTATGGGGAGTGGAGACAGCGTCTCTCCCATTTCTTAGCCTCGTCATGCAATAAAGGAGAGTCATTCACCACGGTTCTGTCAATCCCATCTACCCAAAAGTATTCTCATCTGCAAACACTTTACAGCCCTTTCTCCAAGCATCTACCAAAAGTGTAGGGAGGGAGAAGAGGGATTGATTGTTCTTCAACAGCATCCAGCTTCACTCTGCAAGGAATGTTCATTGCTCCTCTCTGTATATTTATCTGTCTTTATGTTGTGGACATTTGATTCTTGTCCAGGAGGTGGAGAGTCACATAGAAGAGATGGAAATGGAGATGGTGTCCAGTACCAGTCCCCCTGAGAAAACCACCATCAAACCAGCGGCACCAAGTAACCATCAGTTGGTTGTGCCAGTTGCTTCTAATCAGGGCACCAACTCAACCCTGCAGGCACCCTTGGACAGCCCTGGGAAAGCAGAGAAGAACGGACATGCCAAAGAAACACCCCACACAGCCAAGATCTTTGAGATCCAGTCTATGCCCAATGGCAAGACAAGGACCTCTCTCAAGACTGTAAGCAGGAGGAAACTGTCACAACAGAAGGAAAAGAAAGCCACTCAGATGCTAGCCATTGTACTTGGTGAGAGCGCTCATTGGCTTCCTCTTGTGTTTATGCAGAAACCAATAGCCACTCAGGGCTAGGGTAGCCAGTCTGAATGTCCAGCGTAGGCTGTTTTTCCAGGCCTCCACAGAAATAATTTCACTGGATGCATTAGTGGATGTGCAGGCAAGTAGGCAAGAGGCTGCCCGTAGGAAGGCTACCTCCTTCCCAGCTAGGAACAGTTCACAGCACTGTACAAAAGGCTCAGAAAACTGTCCATCTGTGGGGTGCTTGGACTGCCAAAAGACAGCTGGGTGCAGGGCAAGAGAGCTCCTGGGCTTTCTAGAACACAAAAGGCAGCACACTTCAATGAGAAACTGGCACCTCAGAAGGCCAGATTTTTTTGCTGTAACTGCTCTAATTACATCAGCAAAGAGGTTCTTTAGTACCTGGATACTCAGAATATAGAATATGAGACTTAACAGACAAACAGAAGGCTTATTCCTCAGGGAAACATTTTTCCTTTATACCCAAAAGAACCTTGCTGTTCTCAGTCTCAAAATTTGTCCAGCTTTCAGCAATCAAAATCTGTCTCTTTCCTTTTCTCCCAGGTGTTTTCATCATCTGCTGGCTCCCATTCTTCATCACTCACATCCTGAACATGCACTGCGATTGCAACATCCCCCCAGCAATGTACAGCGCCTTCACGTGGCTTGGATATGTCAACAGTGCTGTCAACCCAATTATTTACACCACCTTCAACATTGAGTTTCGCAAGGCTTTCATGAAGATCCTCCACTGTTAAAAGCAAAACCAGCAACTACATTTTGAAGAATGAGAAAAAAGAAACCGATGCCATTCATGCACACAAACGGGCAGCCATGGGGAGGTCTCAAGCTCTTGTATGGGGCATGAGGCCTGCAGTGTTACAACAGTGCCATGCCCATGCACCTCTTGGTGGGGATGTAATGAGGACTTCCATGTGGGAGGTTCTTTCATCCCTTCAGGTGACCTTTGGACTCGGGGACACCAATCCCAAGGGCACTTGTCAGAGCTACCCTCACACTGTGTTTAAAGCGGAAGCAAAAATCAAGACACACTCACTTGATTCTTGCCTGTGGCCATCTAACCTTGAGTGCATTAAATATAGACAGGCGCAGAGCCATGTGAAGGTAGCGATAGGTCACTGCTGCTACTGGCTTGCGTGTTATGTCATTGATACGATTCTCACCAAAGACAAGACCATCTTTTCTGCTTTGCAATAGGAGCCAGACAGAGCTTGCGGAAACTCCATGCAATAGCTTTGCCTTCACCTTGAGCTGACTTACCCAGTATTAAACTGCTGAAGCCTTGAGAAAAAACTTTAAGAGGTCTCCAAGTGGGCTAAGAAGGTTCTGCCACCTTACAGATCCAAACCCCGAGACAATGTGGGCCTACAAGCAATGGGGAGAAGGAAGATGGGGAACGTAAGTCTCACGTGGGACCGCTACATCACTGTAAATATGCATAACTAGGATGAGTTGAACAGAAGCCCAAGCCAAAAAACAGAAGAGAAGCTAAAGAAGTGATACCTTGTTTTGCACGGTATACATTCAGAGCAAACAGGACACCAACTATCATCAGCCGGCCCAGCAGCAATTTCTGCCCACCAGCATTTCATCTCCAGTCTCTTACAAGAAGTTACAAAACTAGGTGAGGAGTGTTAGTGTGGTGCATGAAGACAGCGTGCCAGGTGAGGCATCTGCAGCCATGTCTGTCTCAGATGTGAACTTGAACAAGTCAGCTAAGTTAGGTCCCGTTCTTCTCATCTAACATCAGGGTGCCATGAAGCCAAGGACCACCTCAGATATGATTTGCCTACGTCTCTTAACAGAGAGAGTGCAGAATAACAGCGTGCCTAATTTAAATCAACACAAAATGAGATAAAACTGTGTGTTTTGGAGACAGCCAGAATAAAAGTCCAAGAAAGTCCCTAGCTGGACCTGCTCCTGTATCCAAGTTGGACTCTGGAAAGGTCTGGATGTTTCCAGCACCCCTTGCCCTCCAATATCTATCTGCCATGGATTTAAACAATTGAAAGCCCATAAGAGCATAATTTCACCACGCTGACTCTGGCATTGCCAAATCCACACTGTACTTAATAATTGTACTCAGTTCACAACATATTTTGTAATATCTCTGTAAATAAAATATAGTAAGATTAATAAAATTACATGGAAATAGGTCTGGCTAGAAATTAAGGTAGGATCTGAAGAACTAGATGATTACAATAGCCATATGCAGAGGCAGGCTCACAACTTCTAGTTACCTGCTGTTTTCTAAAGATGTTAAAACACAATCAGGAGAGCAATAGAATCCCTTTTCTCTCTATGCAGTTTGTGGAATAGTCACATAGTTTCTGCTTCAGAACAGAAAAGACTGCTGCCAAGGCGGGTTTCTTTTATTCTCTGGTTTTCCTATATTGCTAACAAAGCATTTTCCTGTGGGATGGACTGTGCTGGTAGAATGCGTTCCAGCTGTCTATCAAGACGAGATTATGTAAAGCAGCTATAACACATGCTCTCAACTGTTTACTGAAATTGAAACAGGAGTCCCACCTTGAGCCAAAGGTTTCCGTTCTAAACCTTGTATTCTTGGAAGAGGCCCAAAATCAGTGTTATTAGTATTTAGCCAATGGACTTGTATAACATTTGAGCATGGCTCTTTGAGGTCTGTTCATAGCTATAAATGTAAATGAAGAGTGATCCTACAGACGCCTAAACGCGTCCCGGCTTAGTGAAGGGTTTTGGCATATACCCTCAGCAGAAATAGGTCCTGTGTATTAACTGAATGGGAGGATACATGCTTATCAGAGCAACGTCTTGTTGACATACGCGAACCAAGTGTTACACGATGCTGTCAGAAGAAAACGTTATGAACGTGTAAAACGGGGCCAGTCACTCTTCTGTCTTCATACTGTAATGCACAGCTAGGGAACCTTCATACTTTGCATGTTAATAGGATCATAGGCAAGGGAAAAAACAGTTCTTACAGAAGCAAAGGAAACTTTCCAATCCTTTTTTATTCAGAAAATTGGAAACACTAACTCAAGAGATCTCAGGCACATGTCATCTGTTTGGGTTTTTTTTCCAATTTTAACCAAGCAAGCTCACTCAGTGATGGGGAATCAACTCAGACTGGTATTAATGAAAAGATTTAAAGAATAGTGTAAAGTCAGTAGGTTTTTTTGTGATAAAATAGTCACAAGCTACTGCTCAATTTTCTAACATATTTACAATCGCAAAGCAGAAAGGTGCCATTTGACTTTGTCACTTAACTGGTGGGGAGCTGTATCAAAATAGAAAATAATATTCAGATAAACAAAAGAGCTTTAAAGCATTTGGAAGTTGCCATAGGTGATATTTGCCCTGTACTAAAACCTGTTGTGAGCCCTCAAAATAAGTGGAATGAGAATAATGTCTTAACTTTGTGCCATAATTGTATTTTGTGTTCAGTGTTAATTCAGAACAAAATCATCATCTTCAATAATGTGTACCTTGTTTGAAAATTTTGTTTCTGACTCTAGATGCAGAACCTTATAGCTCAACTCACCCGAACTACTAGAGGAAAAACTCTTCCAAAATATTGTGGAGGAAAACTGCTGCTGAAAAAGCACCTACGTGCTTCATGTGTTTGCTAACTCGGACCAAAAAACCCACTTGTCATTTCCTAGAGATTAAGTATTCGTTGGGAGAAATTACCTGCAGCCCATCATTCATCCCAATGACATTTAAAGGACTCGTTCCTAAGACTCCAGACTCAAAAGCATCTCGTGGGAATATTTATATCCCCACTGCCCTTGGAAAGGTGGTAATGCCATGTCTGTTCATCTCCTCTGCATCAGGTTTCCCTTTCCCATAAAATATCTACCCTTAAAGACAACAAACTAAAGCACTTTCTACCTGTGAATCAAGCCTTCATACCTCTTTTCGAGAGAGGAACAAATATATCATCACTTCTGGCTTTACAAAGAATAAACTAATGCCAAGAGCAAGGACGGCCTTTGCAATCTGTTTGCACAGCACCTGGCACAATGACAACCAGCCCATAATTGTGACAGAAGGTGTTTGTGGAAAGTTTGGAAAATTATGAGAAGTCATAATTTGCATGATACAGGACTCTCAGGTCTCTTGCCCACAGATCTGAGTCTGGCAAATACAGTCCTTACTGTTACTTCTGCGCTGGCAAAAATACTGCTTTCACAAGGACTTCAGATGGTGGGACATGCTGATGATGGTAAGGTTACTGATACGTTTTTTAAAACGCATTAGTGAGAAGATTTCATTTCTTCGTTCCCGAAGAAGAACTTAAGACCCTTGCTATACTCCCTATTTTGTGATTCATTATTTGCAACTGAAGCTTTAGTTCTGCTTGTTGAGTCTTCCCGTTCCTGCTTTTCTTCCCCGTGATTCACAGCTCGCTGAAGCCCGTGTGGCTCTCTGCACTCCCTGAACAGGTTTTAATTAAGAAGCTAGTGAGTTCTGCCTGCACTGTATTTGGCGCTTGCCCGCTTGCTCCCACTAGTCATGATACTGTTTATCTTCCTGATTGAAGAGTAAACTAATTGCAGTAGGTCTAACCGTCTTATTAAATCCTGCTGAAGCCACTACCTCTGTGGTGAAAATCTCCAGTGAAAACAGGACTTCCTGAAGAGTCAAGAATGTATAATACCCATCACAAGTACATGTGACACCAACAAATGTCTTCATGCAGCACTGTAATTAAATAGAGACTTGCACAAGCTACCCTGACGTTATATGCTTATTTCGTTCTTTTTACCAGAAGCAGCAACAACGGGGTTTAGCTGTAAGGGGTCCGACTCTAGGGATCTACGATTACGCAAACACGTAACAGGCAAAGCTGGCCTTCAGATGAGAGCTTGTATTTTTTCTGACTTGCTTTTCAGATTAGTTGCATTTTTTCTTTCTCTCCCTTATCCCAATCTATCCTTAAGAATTCCAGCTTTTATCTAGACTGAAGCTAGGAGAATCAGACATGGGAAAGAAAGGGTGCAGAGAGAGACAGACAGAAAAGGAAATGTTCTTAAATTTCTCCATCTCTCTTCTATTCTAGACAGAAGCAGAGTGGGGAGGATTTGGAGGAGGAAGGGATGAAAAACAAATAAGTACCTAGCCAAGAGCAGTCATGCTGGTACTTCTGGCATCACAACAGCTGCCTGTATTTACTTTTTGGCACTACTCGTTCACATCTGGTCCATAGCAGTTCGGGTTCAAGATGGGGACTGAAAGCCATTGCTCTCACTGGGACACCATTTGTCTACCTGAGCTGTGAAGGTTGAGGGAAACAAATACATTTGAGTCAAACATAAGCACCCGCCTGTATGAGTTTGGTCGGCAACAATAAACAGTTGAGTGGAACCTACAAACTCGCAATCTCTGTGCATGGAGAAAATAAAGAGAAGCTGCGAGACCACTATGGCACTGCCGACAATTCGTGTGATAAGTACGGCATTTTTCATGCTGTATTTTATGCAGAAGTTTACATGCCCCAAAAAAGTAATTACGGACTCCACTTGGCTAAGCACACCTAACATAGGAATTCACGTCAGTGGGAGTATTTCAGCTGTCCGCCTCTATCTCGTGGTCTTGCAGAAAAGGTTTTGGTGAAGACACTGCATGGAGCTGGCAACACAGACGGCACACTGCAGCTGAGCCCTGCCTAGTGACTTATGCCCAGGTTAAGTAACTAGTCACCTGGAGGGTTTTTTCCTTCTGCGTTTCACTTGACTTGCATGCTGGAGAACTT